TGTATATTTTGGAGAAAAGACCTTTGTCATATGTTGGGTTGGTGAAGATCTTTTTGTATTCTGTAGAGAGCCATTTTGTCTTGTTGACCATGTTCTTTGCTTTACAGAAGCTTCTCAGTTTCAGGAGGTCCCATTTATTAACTGTTGCTTACAGTGTTTGTGCTACTGGTGTTTTATTTAGGAAGTGGTCTCCTGTTCCTATGCATTCAAATGTATTTCCTAGTTTCTATGAGGTTCAGCGAGGATGGATTTATATTGAGTTCTTTGATCCATTTGGATTTGAGTTTTGTGCATGGTAATAGATGTGGATCTATTTGCATTCTTCTACATGTTGATAGCCATTTACACCAGCACCATTTGTTGAATATGTTTTCTTTTTTTCTATTTTATATTTTTAGCTTTTTTTGTCAAAAATTAGGTGTTCATAGGTGTGTGGACTGATATAGGAGTCTTTGATTCAATCCCATTGGTTCACCTGTCTGTTTTATGCCAATACCAAGCTGTTTTCAGAACTATAGCTCTATAGTAGAGCTTGAAGTCAGGGATGGTGATGCCTCCAGATGATCCTTTATTGTACCAGATAGTTTTGACTATCCTGGGTTTTTTGTTTTTCCATATGAAGTTGAGTACTGTTCTTTCAAGGTCAGTGAAGAATTGTGCTGGGATTTTGATGGGGATTGCACTGAATCTGTAGATTACATTTGGTAGGATTGCCATTTTTACTATGTGGATCCTACCTATCCAAGGGCATGGGAGATCTTTCCATTTTCTGATATCTTCTTTTATTTCTTTCATTAAAGACATGAAGTTCTTGTCATACAAGTCTTTCACTTGTTTGGTTAGAGTTACCTCAAGATATTTTATGTTATTTGTGGTTATTGTAAAGGATGATCTCTGATTTTCTTCTCAGAGAGTTTGTCATCTGTATACAGGAGAGCTACTGATTTTTTTTTGAGTTAATCTTGTATCCTGCTACATTACTGAAGTTGTTTATCAGTTGTAGGAGTTCTCTGGTAGAATTTTTGGGGTCACTTATATAAACAATCATATCATCAGCAAATAGCAAGAGTACTTCTTTTCCAATTTTTATCCTTTTGATCTCCTTTTGTTGTCTCATTGCTATAGCTAGAACTTGAAGTACTATGTTGAATAGATATGGAGAGAGTGGAGAGCCTTGTCTTGTTCCTGATTTCAGTGGGATTGCTTTGAGTTTCTCTCCATTTAGTTTGATGTTGGCTGTTGGGTTACTGTATATTGCCTTTATTATGTTTAGGTGTGTTCCTTGTATCTCTATTCTCTCCAAGACCTTTATCATGAAGGGGTGCTGGATTTTGTCAAAGGCTTTTTCAGCATCTAGTGAAATGATTATGTGATTTTTCTTTTGCAGTTTGTTTATATGGTGGCTCCTTTGACGCTGCTCTGGGCCTGAACCTCTGGCCTTTCTCTGATGCTGCTTCCAGGCTGGGATTCCGGCCTCTCACTTTCTTGTTAAAGGCCTTTTCTATATTGATTGATGTGACCATGTGGCTTCTGTCTTTAAGTTTATATGCTGTATCACATGTTATATCAAGCTATCTTTGTGTCTCTGGAATAAAACAAACTAGGTCATGATAGAAGATCTTCTTACTGAGTTCTTGAATTCAGTTTGCAAGGCTTATTAAGAATTTTTACACCTATGCTTTCAAGGAAATTTGTCTATCTCTCCCTCCCTCCTTTCTCTTCTTTGAGTAATTCTGCCTTGGTAGAATGAATTTGATAATGTTCCTTCCCTTTCCATTTTTCAAAATATCTTATTTTTACAAGGACATCTGTTCAACTATGTTCATAGCAGCATTATTTGTAATAGCCAGAACCTGGAAGCAACCTAGATGCCCCTCAACTGAAGAATGGATAGAGAAAATGTGGTTCATTTACACAATGGAGTGCTACTTGGCGGGGAAAAAACAATGGAATATTGAAATTCACCGGCAAATGGATGGAACTAGAAGAAACCATTCTGAGCGAGGTAACCCAGTCACAGAAAGACAAACATGGTATGCACTCACTCATATATGGTTTTTACACATAGAACAAAGGATTCCCAGCCTATAATCCACACCACCAGAGAAGCTAGGAAACAAGGAGGACTCTTAGAGAGACATGCATGGTCCCCCAGAGAAGGGAAAGGGACAAGATCTCCTGAGAAAATTGGGAGCATAGAGGGAAGGGAGAGGGAGCTAGGAGAATGAGAAGGGGAGAAGAGGGGGGGTGAGGAAGACATAAGGGAGCAGGAAGGTTGTGTAGGGGGAAGAATAGAGGAGAGCAAAATAAGAGATACCATCAAAGAGGGATCCATATAGGTTTAAAGAGAAATCAGGCACTAGGGAAATGTCCAGAGATCTACAAGGATGACTCCAACTAACTAAGTGACAGTGGAGAGGCTAACTTAAATTCCCTCCCCTGATAATGAGATTGATGAGTAACTTATATACCATCCTAGACCTTTCATCTAGCAGCTGATGGAAGTAGAAGCAGATACCCACAGCAAAAAAACTGAACAGAACTGGAATCCAGTTGCAGAGAAAGAGGAGTGATGAGCAAAGGGGTCAAGACCACTCTGGAGAAACCCACAGAAACAGCTGACCTGAACAAGTGGGAGCTCTTGGCCCCCAGACTGATCACTGGGAAACCAGTATGGAACTGATCCAAACCCCATGAATGTGGGTGTCAGTGAGGAGGCCTCAGAAATCTATGGGGCCTCTTGTAGTAGATCAGAACTTATCCCTAGCATAGGAATGGACTTTGGGAGCCCATTTCACATAGAGGGATACTCCCTCAGCCTAGACACAAGGGGGAGGGCCTAGGCCCTATCCCAAAGGATATGACAGCCTCTGAAGACCACCCCCATGGAAGGCTTCACTCTCCCTGGGGAGCAAAAATGATATTGGATAGGTAGGTGTTAGTGGGGGGCAAGGGAGGAGGGAGGGATAGGGAATGGGGATTGACATGTAAAACAATCTTGTTTCTAATTTAAATTTAAAAATATTTTATTTTTAATTACCCATATAGGTGTGTGCTGGAGAGTGTGTGTGTGTGTGTGTGTGTGTGTGTGTGTGTGTGTTTAGAGACTGCTGTAAGCCACATGATTTGGATGCTGGGAACTAAACGTGGATCCTCTACAGCTCGTAACTGCTGAGCCGTTTCTCCAGCCCCTCTTTTATTTCTTCTTGTCATCTTCTGGTTTGGGTTTGTCCTGTTTCTGTTTTTCTAAGATCTTGAGATGCATCATTATGTCATTTATTTGAGCTGTGTAAGATCTGGATTTTTATTTCGGTTATGTGCACACATGTGCCACAGTATGCATGTGGAGGTCAGAGGATAACTGAATTCTCTCCTTCCAACAGAGGTGGAACTCAGGTCATTAGACTTGGTGACAAGTGCTGGGCCCTTTGACCTTTTCTATATGTAAGCACTCATAACTCCAAGCTTTCCTCTTCGAACTGCCTTTTGCTCCTACCCAAGGGTTTTGATAAGCTGGGCTTACATTTTCACTTGATACTAGAAATTAAAGTTTTTTTTTTCCCTAATGGGCTCAAGAGCATGGTGTTCAGGCTCTGTGTATTTGAATAGTTTTTATGTTTTCTCTTGTTATTTATTTCTAGCTTTGTTCCATTGTGTTCTGATAAGATACATGAGATTGTTTCAATTATTTTATATTGTTTGGTAGACTAGAATGTGTCTGGTGACAAGAATGTATATTCTGTGTTTGATTGAGGATTCTGTAGATACCAATATGTCCACCTGATCTATGGTGTAGTTTAATTCTGCAGTTTCTTTATTGGTTTTTAGTTTTAATGTCCTATGTGCAGATAAGAATAGGACTGAGGAGATGACCCAGTGAGTGAGAGTATTTGCCATGCAAGCCTGATGACCTAGAACCCACATTAAGGTAGAAGGGGAGAACCAACTCTGCATTTATACATAGCATACATATGTACGCCTGTATTCACACATCATATATACATGTAATAATAATAAAATTTACCAAAATATTTAAAAACAAGAATGAGATATTAAAGTCACCCACTGTTACCATTACTGTATAGGAACATGACAGATCTTTCATCTTTTGTAGCATTAGTTTTTATGGAGTTGGAAGCATTCTTTGATTCTTAGTCTGCAGACATCTTTATAAGTGATAATTATGTCCTAGAGAGAAAATGTAGTTTTATATTTTTTAAATGCTAGCTTGCATATTTTTACTGATGAGTTGAGGATATTTGCATTTAAGGTTTATTGTTGAGAGAAGTTAGTGAATTCTTATTATTTTGTAAGTTGTTTTTCTGGTTGGTTAGATTGATTGCTTATTCTTTTCTTTCTTCCCTGCTAGTATTAAGAGTTTGTTGGTTTTCTGCATTATAAATGACAGCTTCCTTTCTATATCTTCTTTGTTCATCTGTTCCATTCATGGATTCTATTCTTTTGCTGTGTTCTGATTGAGACATTCCTTCCCTCTTTGTGAATATCCCTTTAAGAATGTTCTGCAGTGCTGACTTAGTAGTCATGAAGTCTTGCTTTGTGCCTGGCTTGAAATGTTCCTATTTCTCCATAAAATTGAGTGTTGCTAGATACAGCAATCATGTTTGCAGTTCCTTACTGTTGTAGTTTGAATGAGAATGGTCCTGTATACTCATATGTTTGACTACTTGGTCCCAAGTGGTGAAACTGTTTGGGAAGGATTAGAACTTGTGACCTTTTTGAAAGAATCACTGGGCAAGGGGTAGGCTTTGAAGTTTCAAAAGCCACATGCCATGCCCATTGGTGCTCTCTGCTTTCTGCTTGCTGTTTGAGATGTGAACTTATACGGGTTCTTGCCACCATGCCTTTACTCTACGATGATGGACTCTAACCCTTAAAAATATAAGCCAATTAAATATGGTTTTTAAAAATATGTATTAGTTGCTTTGGTCATGGTGTTTTATAATAGCAATAGAAAAGTAACTAATACACTTACTTTTAAGGATTCAGATATATCACTCCACACTTTCCTGGCTCTGGGATGCTGATGAGAGATTTGACATTATTCTGATGTCCTTTAGGTAAGTTTTGGGTTTTTTTTCCCCCGGAACAGGTCTGCCCAACCTGTGACTCAAGGGCCACTTGCAGTCAGGGATTAGCTATGAATGCAATTCAACACAAAGACTTAAAAGTATTTAAAGCATTATGATATATTTTTGCAATTTTTTGTAACACAGTTATAAGGTTCTCAAAAGTAAGCTTTGTAGACGACAGTTAGATATGCCTGTGTCCAGCTTTTCCTATTTGCTTTGCTTTGTATTTTTAAAAAGTGTGTGTGTGTGTGTATATAAGTGGAAGTCGGAGGAAAATTTGCAGTTCTCTCCCTGCACTATAATAGGTCCTAGCAATCAGACTTGGGTTGGTGGTCAGTGCCTTTACTTGCTGAGCCTTCTCACCAGCCCTACTTTGTATTTTTGACATATTGACCATAATAGATCATGGAGAAGTTCTTCTGTTGTCATGTCTATTTGGAATTCTAAATGGTGCTTGTATTTGAATGTTGGAGATTTATTTCTCTAGATTTGGGGAAGTTTCTGGTATCATTTCATTGGATAAATCTCTATGCCTGAAGTTCTTATCTCAGATTCCTTTTCTAATTCATGGATTCTTAGGTTTTGTCTCTTGATCATAGCCCAGTTTTGCAAACTTTGGTCAAGCTCACATGTTTTGGATGATGATATTTGAATGTAGTATTTCCCTGTTGTCTATCCTAAATTTTCCTTCTCCTGGTTTTTTGAACCTGTTGGTGTTGGTTTCTATGGTTTTGATTTATTGAGTTTTTAAATTTCCAACATTTATTTTAAAAATATTTCTTATTTTATCTATCTATATCTATCCCTGTTTCTTTCTCTCTCTCTCTCTCTCTCTCTCTCTATATATATATATATATATATATATATATATATATATACAGATATAGATGCC